TAAAATTTTCATTAATTTCGCTACTGAAATATTGTTAAAACTTTAATAATAAAGTTTTTTTTTTTTTAAATTTTATTTCATTATTATTACTGTGAAGCCGAACATGACCAGCACCCAAAAAATGCATATAAAATAATCAATAAAGCTGAAAATATCTGTTTTTTTTTAACGAATTAATAAACATAAATAATTTTAACACTCAAATAAAATAAAATTTAACATTCTTAGAACTTATTTATTGGTTTAAAATATAAAGAATCTTACAATTTGTAAGATTTTCAAAAAAAAAAAAAACAAAGATAAAATTTTATTAAAAACTAATTTTAATTGCAAAAATAAATTAAAATCATGACTTTTTAAAAATTTTATTGATTTCGCTGCTGAAGTATTGTTAAAAATTTTAATAATTAGGTTTTTTTTAAAGTTTATTTTGTTATTATTGCTGCGAAGTAAGCAAACGGAATATGACCAGCACCCAAAAAATACATATAAAATAATGAATAAAGGTGAAAAAAAATATTTTTTTAATATACAAAAAATCTCACTAATTATAAGATTTTTTGTATATTTAATAAGGAAATAAGTTCTGATAATGTCAAATTTTATTTTATTTAAGTGTTAAAATTATTTATGTTTATTAATTCGTTAAAAAAAAAAACAGATATTTTCAACTTTATTGATTATTTATATGCATTCTTTGCGGGATGGTCATGTTCGGTTTGGTCACTTCACAGTAATAATAATGAAATAAAATTTAGAAAAAACTTTATTATTAAAGTTTTAACAATATTTTAGTAGCGAAATTAATAAAATTTTTAATTGGTCACGGCCCTAATTATGTTTTTTTTTTTTTTTTTTTTTTTTCGAGAGAGAAGAGATTAAGAGGTATTAAAATTTCTCAAAGTATTTATTTTGTATTTCATAATAAATGATCAGAAACAAAGTATATAGTGACTTTTTAGAATGTTTTTACTCTGCTATACATCTGTATAGTAATCTCTTTCTAATTCTTAAATTTCTTTGAATCAAGGATAAATGTTAAATTTGTGTAATAATTGGTAAAGTTTTCCTCCTATGTGTTTACGCTAAATTGTATAAATTTTTTTAATATTTTGAAATTGTTTTTCATCAAATCCATATCCCCATTTTAAATTGAAAATTTTAAATAGAATTGCCTTTTTAATTGCATTTTCTTTTCGTATCTCAAAAATACTTATAATCCAATAAAACTTGTGAATGAAAAATGATTCATATAATCTTTCATCTTCTCCTTAATTCTTCCATACATATAAATGGCTATCATTGAGTTTATTAAACGTTGTATCTATTTCACTCAAAGGAATTTACAATTCAGCTTCACTTTTACAAAAAGTAATCATATTTCTCAAAGTATTTGAAAAAATTGAACTTGAAAAGATTTAAAGAGCTAAATCATGTGTGGTGAAATTTAGTCGAGATTGATTAAGCAAAATTTGATTTCTTTTTTTGTTTGTGGTAATTTAAGTTGTTCGAGAATTGCGTGTGTATGCCACATGCTTCTTTTTGTGAATGTTTCTTTTTTATTTCACTAGTTTTATTGCTTAATGTTAACATATCGTTTAATTGATAAAATTTTTTACTCTTTTCTTTGATTGTATACAAAAATATTTCAGTGTTTTGTTTATCATTTCAACTAGAAGTATTCATTGCATCTTTATTAGTTTTTTTGTTTTCTTTTTTCTTTCACTGTTATCATGAAAACTTGGTATTTTAGAAAATTTAGTTGATGGAGTTACTTCTTGAGAATTTCAAAGCTGAAGTTTTCGATTATCCAATAATGGATTATTGTAAGAATGCTATGCGAATTATAAATCGAAACCCCGATGCATAATTATTTTAAATTTGTGCTATCTTAAACATGTCAAAAATTTTAAATTTTCTAAAAGAATTGAAAACTTTCTAAGATTTCTCAATTTTTTCTCCTCTCATCAATGAATGCATTAATTTGAAAAGAGGAAAAAAGAATAAGAGAAATTCATGATATCATATTCATTTGCATTACTGTATTATTTGAAAGCAAAAGAGATTAGTAATAGGACGAATTTGAAAAGTTTTAAAATTTTCAAAAGAAACAATAATATTTTACAGGAAGAAAATACTAACCATATTTCAAATAGAAAAAAGAAAAACAAAAAAGCAAGAAGAAAAACTAGAAAAGAGAAAATAATATGAATAGTTTTACCATTGAAAATAATAATAATATTATAACCGCTGATTGATCAAAAATCAAAAAAAAAAGAAAAGAATGATCAAAAAGAAAAGAATAAGCATTCAATTTAGTTAGAAACTAATTCTAAGAAATTAGAGGAAATATTAGTGATGTAAGTAAAAAAGAGAAAAAACGAAAAAACTTTTAAAATCTTTATATTATTGATAAGGGTGATAAAATGAATGTAAATTAAACAAAATGAAGGATAAAATTCTACTTTTCTGATAATGCCTATATGAAGTAAAAAGCTCTTTTAAATAGAAAAAATTTTTTGTTTTAAAATTAAAAATAAAAAAATAAATTAAATTGAAAAAATTTCAATCAAAATTATCAATAGCGTATAATGAGGAAAAATTATTAAACTTGAAGAAAGTGATTGTTTTAGTAAAAATCAATGGAAAAATATGATTTTAGACATTTAAAGCATATTTCTATATAATTTAAATTTATGTTTCCTTTGCGGACACCTGCTCGTCATCAGAGGGTAGAGTAATGAGGGAGGATCGTAGCATGCTAATATTATTGTATACTTAACCCTAGACACAGCCCTTGTTATGGGGAAAAGAGCTTGCGTGCCCTTATGTGCCCCCGTTGAAGTTGCAAACTATGCTGGCAATGGCATATACTTCCGATAGGATTTCTTAAAATAGAAAGATTTCAATTTGAAGGTTTAAATCAAATGTGTGAATGGGTAGGATGGCATTATTAGCTTTCGGGCAATTAACCTAGAAGAATTCAGTCTATCAACTCTGACTTCAAAACTGGGCAAATGATACTATCCGTCCAAGAAAATCTACGATCCGAGGATTTTACTGCCATCCTCCAAGTTTGCTTGGTCTAAGAGATGAACTTCGAAAAAAAAGCAGCCTTATCAGGTTTATCTTCACGTTCGATCCGGTTAGCTAACCGTGGTTAACCGGTTCTTTTTATTACGGTCAAACCAAAACAAAGGAAAAAGCATATAGTTGCACCCAAAAATGTTTCCAAACTGATTGTTTCAGGTTGAAACATGAAACTGCGCTCGTACTGCAAATAATGGTTGTCGCGAATGTCCTTCTACTCCAATTGTTCATCACTACATGATGACATTGCTGTTCACAGTGAATTCGTTGCATCAAAAGGTAACCACAAAGTATGCTCTTCTGGTCGGACAAACCGGAAACAGAATTTTACCCTTAAGGAATTAGTTTCATGACTAAAAAGTAAATCGATTTCAAGCTTATTCATTTTCCAATAGATCATTTGTAATCTCTTTACATCTTCCATTACATAATAAACAACACTGTTGTCTTTCTAAGTATTTACACTTCAACTTGTCAAAGTAATAATTATATAGAAAACTATATAATATTTATAGCGACTTTCTTTGTTCCAACCAAAAAATCCCACAAATAATAAAGTCGTAATCAATGGCAACTTTAATTTTAGAGTAGGAAAGTACTTTGAAGGTTGGAAAAAAAAAAAAAAAAAGAAAAGAATACTAGATAAACATGATGCTAAAAATTGTAAAGATCATAAATGTCATTTTTTTTTTTTTGTACGAAAAACTAGTTTAATGATAATTTAAATGCATCTTTGATCTAAACAAGCAAGATATCGTCTATATTTTAGTGCGCCAAAGAAGAATTCATAATATTTGTCATACTGAAAGTAATAGCTAGTGTAGAATGTCAAATGGATAACCACTTTTTGTGATGCAAAGTCAATCTTCATTTTTCCACTTTCAAATCAAACTTAAAAGAGGTGACATTCCAAGGAAAGTTTAAAAGTCAGCAATTTTGAAATTACTATATTTTGAGACAATTTCCTTCCAAATAACCTTCAAGTCAAACTTGTAAAGAAGATTGTGTTTTTATATTTATATCTTCTTAAGCATACTACTCCAAAGAGTCACAGTAGACTTCAACAAAGAAAATACTGTTTACTCGATATTATACTGATAGTAACTTATTTAACCTTAATCAAAATTCTAAACTATCATATCTGAAAACTGCTTTTTTGCGGACAAAGCCGCTTTGTTGCTACTTGCAGCATATACTGCTTTACAGAAGTTGTAAAGCTTTTTAAGATACAATTCAATTAAAAGAAGACAGAAATTCTACAGCAGCTCTCACTACAGGTATATTATCATCATCTTCATATTACTTTAAGCGAAATTAAGCCAACATCAGTCCACGAGTTTAGCTATCTAAAAAGCATCATCTTGCCGAGATCGACCAAGAGATTGATGACAGATTAGCAAAGGCATTCAGAAAACTCCATAATGGAATTATAAACACCTGCTACTTACTTAGGACATTGATACGCTTAGGATCAAATCTTGAAAAAGATTAACACTTTATCTAAATTTCGCTAGTATGATGAATCCACTATTGTCTACCGCAATAAAAGTTATCAATAAAAGATACAAGTATTTCATTAATTGATTCCTCAATCTTGAACATATCGACATCATCAGTGATCCATTTTAGACTCAAATCGAGAAGCTTAGAGATAAAAATATTAACCCTAATTCTATTATCATCTTTGAAAATACACATAAGATCTGTTTCGAGATGAGCTAGAAAGAATCATGCCATGCCAATTCACGAAGAAAAATCATATAAATTAATCATATTTTTATTTTTGTTTTCTTTTTTGTCAAGATTATCAAATATATTGAAGTGGTCAGCTATAAATTTCTTTAATATATTCAAATTGTAGTAAATTACTGAAATTCAATTACATTGCAATTCTTATGCACTGATACAATTTATGTTTCGGTACTTGTTTCCGAACTATTATTATCTACTATTTTCGGCAATAATATATTAAGCTTGGTATACATTCGTGTCAATGGTGGTGTTGCTTTGAATATCATCGCTGTAATTGGAACCATAAATTTAGCAGTTAATTTTAAACAAATATACAGAAAATTATTAAAAAAATAGAAATTTGCATAATTAGATGAAAAAAAAAAACAAAAAAAACAAAAATTATTGGAATGATAATGATGAATTAGAATAGTTAGTTGAAATTTTGTAATTTTAGTTTGAACTTTTTTAATTCAAAGTTTTGCTAATCAAAATATTTTTTCCTAATTTAATTACAATTTTACTTACTTGAAGTTGCACTAGCTTCATTTTTATTCTTCGGTTTACATGTATTCATAGGAACGGTTAAATTCTCGACAACCACTTTATGACGACGACCAGCATATTCAGCGGGATCACGAGGCCAAAAATCTGAGGTAGGTATCAATATGTATACTTCATCTTCCTCATTTGGTTCCAAATATCCATGACATTTAGAAAAACGAGGAAATGAGCGTTCTCGCGTTCGTATACGATATACGATGGGTATTGGATCACTATTTTTTATCTGTATAAAATTTTTGAAATTTTTACAAAATTAGACTTACAAAATACCAATGAAAAAAAAAAATCATAAATTTCAAATAAACTATCATAATGTTATGAGTTTTAAATTAAATTTTAAATTTAAACGTTGAAAAAAAAAAAAACACTCCAAATTAAAACGGAAAAAAAAGTATTTAAAATCATACAAGCACACATTACAGTACTTCTTTTTTTTTTTCTTTTTGATAACAAAATTAAAAATTTTGGGAACAAAAATTAAAAATTATTGAAAAATTCAATAACAAACACAACTTTTTAAATTAAAATCTTACAAATAATTTACCTTGAAGGAAGTATATTGAGGAATTTGATAATTATCAATAGCTGTAAAAATGATCCACGATGGTATTAATTGAACTTCAAAATCTGGCGTATCACCTGCTGTTTTACTTTCTAAGCTATTACTTTCATCTAATCCGTCGAACATTTCAGATTAACAAATTTAGTAACTCTCAAAAAAATTTTACTAATCAAAAATAATACAATTGTTGCTTAATTGCTTGATTAATTCACTGAATCACTTAGTTACAGTCGTAAAAAAAGAAATTAATCAAAATGACTAACTATTTAAAATTTTCTTCTCTTTAAAATATAATTTGAATGAATTAATCGATTGAAATTTATAGAAGGAAATAGAAATAATTGAAATTTCCTAAAAATACAATAAATTTGCATAACATTAGTTGAGCAGTTCATTCAATAGATGAATAGCATAGAAAATAACATAGAAATGAAAGAGAGCAGGAAAGAAATGAAGAAATTTCATGTATTTGTTAAATTTTAATATGAAATTTTATAAAATTTTTATGCGAAAATTATTACTTTCGAAGAAATTTTTTAAATTTGACATTTCATTAATGCATTTTTTATCGAATTTGACATCCAGAATTTCTAGAATCAGGAGAAAGAAACCGGAAAATCACTTTCAATAAAAAAAAAAATATGTGGACGAGTCGCATTATTGTGCACAATGAGATCCATCGTATCAGTATTATATCAGTAGCGAATACGACGTTGATTTGAGGTAATTAATAATGTGTTTTAGATTTCAGGTAGTCATTAATATAATTTAGATTTCAGGTAATCATTAATATAATTTAGATTTCAGGTAATCATTAATATAACGTACATTTCAGGTAATCAATAATATAATTTAGATTTCAGGTAATCATCAATATAACTTAGATTTCAGGTAATCATTAATATAACTTAGATTTCAGGTAATCATTAATATAACTTACATTTCAGGTAATCAATAATATAATTTAGATTTCAGGTAATCAATAAGGCTATTGTTGATTATTCGTTTAAGATGATATGATATGATGTCGTATGATTAATTGAGAAATATCAGTTGGGAATAAATTTGAGGTACAATTATTTCATTACTATTATTATTATTATTACGAGTTTTTCCTAGTTACTACTGAATATATTTTACTGGCTATTATTATTGTTATTATTATAGTAATTTAGATAGTATTAAACTGGTAAAAAGGGGAAGAAAATCTTTGCGAAATTAATTGAAACAAATACGTTTCGTTACATCAACGTCCTGTTGCTTTCAACCAATCGAATTCAGCTGCTATTTGGACAGTTAGCAGCAAAAATTACTGTTACAAATAGCTGTAAGTTAATTTATTACTTTATAATAGTCACTTTTTCCATTGAATTTTCTGCTTGTTTTCTAGTTCAATACTATTTTAGCAGATGGGATATTATGTAAAGAAGGTAGGTAAATTAATGATTTTTGTCATCAAAATGCAGATGACTAAATTTAGTCATGATTAAATTTTTTTTTTTGTCATTTTTATAGTTTTATTCGCAATTTTTTACTACCTTTAAATGATACTTGTAATACATTATCTGTTATTTGAAATATAGAATAACATAATTTTAGTTAAGCAATCTGTCACCAGTCACTAATCTATATGTGATTAATACGATGATTGCTTAGACAAATATGTCATGTAAACTATTAATGAGTTGCTTAATTATCTTCGGCTTACATCCGCTAATTAGGCCATTAATTATTGAAATTATAATTGCGCAACTTTTTGTAGGCTACATAAAACTAAACAGTGGAAACATGACTATGGTTGATGGAACCGAAGCAGTTAGTTCTGTGATCGATAGTGGTTTGTTTGTCCTTCTATATTACTGAAATCTGAAACACATTTGTGCATATTTTTTTTTATTTCTCATGATATACATTTTATGAGCAAGAGATAACGGATGTGTTTTGATAAAACAAATATTTTGACCATACTTTTCAACTGTATGATGAAAAATTAATCGTATAAATATAATATAAAGGAAACATGACTATGGTTAAAATAAATACAGTGAAATAAATCCAGAATAGTAATTGATTTTGTAGGAGAGCTTTGGAAATAAGATTAGGAAAGGATGGTATATTGTTATGATTTTTCATTTTGCGATTTTATAGCTACTGTTTTGTTGGAGAAGTTTCTTCGCTTTAATTAATTCAAATTGCTGGCATAAATTTTTAGTGGTATATTGATGATTTGGAAAAAATTAACTTATAATGCTTGTAGGAAGACGTCCACAAAAAACATGGAAGCCTCCGGCAGCAGGGACACCTCCTCAGCTTTGTTTGTACAATAGCTTTACACGGAAAAAGGAACTTTTTGTGCCATTAAATCCTAAGCAGGTAGTAAAAAAAAATAACTAGTTGCTATTTCCATAATTTTTTTTTTTCGTTTCTGCTTCTTTGAATTTTATTGAGATAAAATTAAGGTGAAATGGTATATTTGTGGACCAACAGTTTATGATTCTTCACATATTGGACATGCTCGAGCCTATCTTTCTTTTGACATTCTTCGACGTGTTTTGCAAGATTATTTTGGTTATGATATACAGTATATAATGAATATAACTGATATTGATGATAAAATTATTAAGAGGTAAATTGTTATTTGGAAATGATATTTTTTGTGGCTTGATGAACTTTACAGTGTGCAGATGTGAATGTTGCGGTGAAAAAGCTATAGTGTTCGTTGTTGCAATCAGAATCTACAATTAAGTAAAATACGATTTCAGGGCTCGTCAACTTTATCTGTTAGAAAATTATACTTCTGGAAAATTTGGTGAACTTTCGATGACAAAGGTCATCAAGGATACTTTGTCAGCATTGGATAAATTCAAGAATAAGTGTATAGATGAAACTGATCCAGATAAAAAGAATATGTTGGCTGATATGGTAAATTATGTTATGCTATATTGAGTGAAAAACAAAAAATTAAATTTCTTTACATCATGTGGAAAACGAATCAAGATAATCAGAAATATTTTATTAAAGTAATGTTTCTTAGAAAATTAGTGCAACTTTACAGTGTGCAAGTGTGAATGTTGCGGTGAAAAAGTTAGAGTGTTCGTTGCTGCAATCAGAACAACAAGAAACAGAGAAGTCAAAGAATGAATTGCTGCATGCTGCAAAAGATGTGCTATCTGACTGGCTGGATTCACTTTACAAGCACACCGTGAATGACTTAGCTGTTTTTGATCGTCTTGCTAAAAAGTTAGTACTTTTATCTTTTTTTTTTCCATTTCTATCTTTTTTTGTTTTAAAATATTTTCCAAAAAAAAAAAAAAAAAAAGAATGGTTGGTCTAATTTAGATATGAAAATGAGTTTCTCTGTGATATGGCTTCCCTGAATGTGCTACCACCGACTGTTTTAACTCGTGTTTCGGAATACATTCCTGAAATTATTGCATATGTAGAAAAAATAATAAATAATGGTTATGGATACGTTACCAAAGATGGTTCGGTTCGTTTTTGTGTTGAAATACTTTTTTTAGTAATTGACTTGTCCTTTTGTTTATTCATTATTTGTTTTCGTAGTTATCATAATTATTTTCACTCTTCCCTTCTCTTTTTCTTCGTTTCTTCCCCTTTCCTTTTTTCTTTCTCTCTCCCGCTGTCTCTTTCCTCTTCCTCTACTGCTGTCTGACAAGAATTTTCTTTTACCTTTCTTTTTAAGTTTGTTTTTATAAAATTTCAGGTTTATTTTGACACAGTGAAATTTGATAATAGTGAGAAGCATAGTTATTGCAAATTGGTACCAGAAGCATTTGCTGATAATGAACAACTGATGAAAAATATGCGGGAAAGTGAAGGAGATTTGAGTATGGGCAATTTGGAAGTTCGTTTTAATGATTTAAAATTTTAGCATATATTCTGTAAATTGCTATGAAATCTATATAGTATGATGATGAATTATTTCACTTTTCAGAATAAAAGAAATGTGACTGACTTTGCGTTGTGGAAAGCTTCGAAAGACGGTGAACCTTACTGGAATAGTCCTTGGGGAAAAGGTAAGAATTTGAAAATTTTAATGCATTTAAATACCTTTTCATATGTTTATTTCAATACTCGTAATGCTTTCATTACCATATAATATGCTTTGTTTTAGGTAGACCTGGTTGGCATATCGAGTGTTCAGCAATGAGTTCGAAAATCTGTGGTACTTCTTTAGATATTCATGCTGGTGGTTTTGATTTGAAATTTCCACATCATGATAACGAAATAGCACAGGTAATTGAGAATTAATCGTGCTTTGCAAGGTTTTTATTTTTATTTCATTTGTTTTCAAATTTTTATTGATCGTTATCTTATAATCATCTCATGATCCGATTTTTTCTTCGACATCTAGAGAATTTACAAATAGTTGAAAAGTTTTTTCAGTGAGAGATTTTAAAGTGATTTGGAATTTTTAATCCTATGAAGACAGATGGAAGTTGCGGAGTTGCAGTAGTTTAGATTATGGTCAATTCAAATGTCTATCATCATATCTTTCAGGTCGAAGCTTATTATGATATTGAGAACTGGGTCAACTATTTTTTGCACTGTGGTTCACTTCGAATTGCTGGTTTAAAAATGTCCAAAAGCCTTAAAAATTTTATAACGATTCGCGAAGCATTGAAACATTATTCTGCTCGACAGTTAAGGATATTATTTTTAATGCATAATTGGAATGATGTTCTTGATTACAGGTTAGATTGATTTTAAGATTTTGTGTATTCAGTCAGTCCTACTAAATTTGAGTCTTTTTATTCGTTTATTTTTTCATAAATTCGAGTAAATTCGAGTTTTAGTGCTGCTTCAATGGAAAGAGCTTTGCAGTTTGAAAAAATCAGCAACGAATTTTTCTTACTTGTTAAGGATTATTTGCGAAAATATTATAAACCGAACAATAGTGAGGTAGGTGTGGTTAATTTGCATTTTTACACGAAAAAAAGAGGACAGTATTTGAAATATTGGGATTTTTTTCTTTTTTTAAAGTTTTTTAAAGTTCAATTTTTTTTTTAGAGTTATCAAAAATATAATGACGAAGAACTACTCTTGGTCAATAATTTCTGTAAAATCAAAACTGAGATAAACATTGCACTGTGTGATTCGGTCGATACACGAACAGTTGTTGAAAAGTTACGAGAATTGATTGCTATAGGAAATGCTTACTTCATTGAAATGGTTAATATTTTGTTGGTTGCACATTTGGGAAAATTTTTATATATCAGTTCTTCATTCATTTTAAGCTTAAGTGAAGTATCATCGATCATAAAATATTAAATAGTATCTATAAGAGTACTGTTTGTCAAATCTAATTATGTTAACAGACAAACTTTATGCATTGAAAAAATGGAGGATATTTAATTGCAAAATATTGCAGAAATCAGTTGATCAAAGACTTGACACCTTTTATTTGTCAAAATTTTGTTTCAATCTTTTTATTTTTAGGAGAAAAAAGAAGACAGTGTTCCAAATTGCTTGTTGTTACGAAATATTGCATTATACATGACATCTTTGCTCAAAATATTCGGAGTTATACCCCAAAATGTTGAAATTGGTTTCCCAATAGAACATAAGTTTGTTTCATTTGTTTTTTTTTTTTTTGATATGGATTTATAGTTTTTGTTTCTTTAGTTATCATCTAATCTTATTTTTGTCTGTTTTCATGGAATTTTCGTTCTTTTTTCCATTTAGTGGAATATCGAATCATGATATTTCTATAACATCCAAAGAAGAAATGCTTATGCCATATTTAACAGCGCTTGTCGATTTCCGTGAAAATGTTCGAAAGGTGGCTCGTGAGCAAAAAATCATTGGAATTCTAGAAGTAGGCTTTGAATTTTTATTTGTTTAACTAGGAAAATTTATAACTTGAAATTGCAAAGAAGTTTGTTTTCTATGCTTTACTAAAATTATGGTAAAATATATCATTTTTGTCATAGGAATGCGATAAGTTACGAGATGAAGTTCTACCGGAATTAGGTGTACGACTTGAGGATCGAAATGAGCAAACATGTGTCAAACTTGTTGACAGAGAAACTCTGTTGCGAGAGCAAGAACAAAAGAAGGCTATTGAAGCTGCAAAAGAAGAGGTTCCTGCAAAGTTTTTTAATATTGTAGAATGTATAAACAATTTTAATTTTTGGCTTTAAATTTATTTCGATTTGTTATGCTTGAAATTTTGAAAATTATTTGAGCACTTAACATGTTGAATTATTTCCGTATACTACTTCCAGGAAAAATATCGGAAACAATACGAAAAAGCAGAAAAAGAAGCATCAAAGCGTATACCACCTTGGGAAATGTTTAAGCAAGGTAAAGAAGCTGGAAAATTTCTGAAATACGATGATAAAGGAATACCGACGCATCTTGCTAACGGTGAAGAAATCTCGAAGAAGCAACGAAAGAAGTTGGAGAAATTATACGACATACAGCAGAAGAATTATGAACAGGTTTGTTTCTTTATGACTTTCATGAAGTAGGCAAAAATGCATCTGTTCATTCTCGACGCACACTTTCCTTATTTTTACTTGTATCTGAAAATTTATATATCATCTTGACGGTTTTGGGAAACACGAAAAACGATGCAGTTATTATTGCTTTTTTTCTTTTTTTTTTCCACTGCGCTGTTGTCTTGGCAACAGTTGCTTACCTATTCGATAACATTAACTGCTTATTTAGTTGATCATTTTGTTTGATTTCCGATTTAGATTTGCCTAGTATTTTTTTTTTTTTTTTTGGAGTTATAACACAGAAAAAGTTTATTTACTTAATTATTAGTTTTAGGTTGCTCATGAATTAGTTTCAAATGAAGTGGCTACGTCAGAATAACACCGACACAAAATTTTGTAAAGTGTAATTGCTCATTGTGGAAAATTTTCCTGTTTTATTCAAAGAATTTTTGGTGTTTTTATGCCTTCAATTTATAGTTCGAAGTAGTGGATGTTTATCTTGGAGTATGAAATTCATGCAGAAAAATATGAAAGCATAAGCTGAAGGTGCATTTTGGAATAAAAAGTTTTATTCTAAATTTATGTTGACATAATTTTTAGGGATAACTACCGTTTTCTTCTTTTGTTTTAGCTATTTGTTTCCATACGGTTGAAGAACTTTGTTTCGTTGTTTTTTATTTTTCTTGGGTTGTCAAAAATAAAATAAAATTTTTGATGAAGTTAGTTCGTAATTATTAAGTGGTTTTGCATAACTACGCTCAAATCTTCCTGAACGTAAGCAGTTTTTTCTCTCCTTTTATTCTTTTACTTTATTTATTTTTATTTTTGATAAAAAACGTATTAGTGGTGTCATACGAAATGCTTAATCACATAGAGGAGGATAATTAGCAAATGAATTCAACTTAATGTTCTGTTTAGAATTAATTAATCATTTCTACGCAGTTATTTTTTAATCTTTGTTAAGAATAGGAAAATTATACTACTGGACTGGAGTAAGTCATCAGACCAAGCTATGTTTTACCTAAATCATGATAAATGATTACTGCTGATATGGTAATGTAAATTTGATAATTCATACTAATATATATATATATATATATATATTGCGATATAATAATCTCATTTAATCATTCAATTTCAGAAAATTTGCGGAAATACTGGTAAGTTGAAATGTTCAAGACTATGAATTAAAAGCAAATTATGAAAGGAATAATTATGTTTCACTTTAATACTGTTTTTTTTTTTTTTTTTTTTTTTATATATATCAGTGCTCGCATATTTACTATGATTTATGTAAATTTTTCCTTGAAAATTTAACCAAGTTGTTGAAATATTTGAAAAATTTTTTTTCTTCCCGTAAGTTGTCCCAAGTATGCTGAAAAGTCTGATTTAACCCTGCTCACCTGGAATATCTTGTAGGTTATTATCAGAAAAATAAGAATATTTATGAATATATTTTATTTGCTTATGTATGTATTTAGTTTTATATGTATATTTCTATCTTAGAAATCAGTAGTAATATATTTAAATGGATGAATATTATATCATAGTAAATTTTTCACATTAATTTTTTTAATGGAATGTTTGCTTAGTATATAATTTGCAGTCATTAAATTTTTTCTATTTTTCATAGCAAATTTGAATAAGGCTTTTTCAGTCTTTTTTGTGAATTTTTTAATTTAATTTTTTTTTTTCCTATTTTGGTTAATAATATTGTTGTGGAATTTTGCTAGTTCTTCAATATCTGCCATTATTACATCTTTCAAGAAATTTTTAAATTTCAAAATTGTTGCCCATATTTACTATAATTTTTGTGTGACTTTTAAAATTCTTTTTTTTTTTTTCTCTCTCTCTCTCTCTCTCTCAATTTTTGCAAAACGAAACAACTGTTATGGTTCATAAATCAGTAGTTTTTTTTTTTTTCTTTTTTTTGGATTGACCTTGAATTTAAAGTGAATTGATTTATTTCTTTTTATTTGGTTTAAAGTGAAATTGATTTATTCCCAATAGCTATGTGATATTTGTGCTTATGTAGTTTTTCAATTTTTGTCATGGAAATTGAATTACACTTTCATCCATACTTTCTATTAATTGTTTCAACAGACATTTAAAACTGCTTAGAACTGACAACTAACATTTTAGAATATTGAAAAGAAAAAAAAAAAAGAAAAATGTTGGATTCTTTTATTGCATAACAGTCTCTTTATTTCTGTTTGTTTCATTGATGTTTTTTCTTTTATGAATTTTCGATTCTTATTTTTCACATATAATTTGCGACTTTCCAACGACTTGTGCACCTGAATGGGATTAATATAATATTTTTAGATTTACAATGTCGCGAAAATTTCTTGTTGGTGGAAATTGGAAAATGAATGGCAATAAGGTTTTTTTATTTTCAAATAAGCTATTTTATTAAAACTAATATTGATTAGAGTTATTTATTTGCTTGATGTGAAGGTTGCTTTTTCACAAATTTTAATATTTGAAATTTAACAAAGAAGGAAGAAATTATTTGATAAATATTTTTTAATCATTTCAAATGAGCTCTTTCGAAAATACACATAAGAGCATAATTATATGGATAATTTATAGGCTTGATTATATAATTCTTTAATGATAAACGTGATGGAAATTCTGTTTTTTGACAATGGAAATTTTCTTCGAATATGCTCTTTCATATATTACCAATTTGGTAATACTTTTGTCTACATTTAGAAGTAAACGAATGAATGGTTTAATTTCTAGGCCAGTGTTGATAATATTATCAAATTTTTGAATGATGGAGCCGTGGTACCAAATGTGGATGTTGTCGTTGCACCACCTGCACCTTATTTATCATATGTTAAGGAGAAAGTTAAGAATGGCATTGAAGTATCAGCACAAAATTGCTATAAGGTGAAACAAAAGAAAAAGGACTTACTTATTGCTATTTGTATATTCTTTTCGAAGCATTTTTCGACATTTCAAATTTAGTTCACAATTACAAGTAAACAAATTTGAAGGATGGACAAAATTTTTGTAAAAAATTAGAAAAAAAACTTTATCATTATTCTTTTCAGGTTGAAAAAGGTGCATTTACTGGTGAAATTTCTCCAGCAATGATCAAAGATTTAGGACTGCATTGGGTTATTTTGGGACATTCCGAACGACGTCATATTTTTGGTGAATCGGATGAGCTAATTGCGGAAAAAGTTTTGCATGCAGTCGACAGTGGTCTACAAACAATCTTTTGTTGTGGTGAAAAATTGGATGAGCGAGAAGCTGGAAAAACAAAAGCTGTTAGCTAATGCATTTCTCTGAACTTAGGCTATTAGGTTTACGCATCATTTTTTTATATCATATGCGATAAATCAGTATAAAATTATTTAAAATTAACACTTTATAGTTGTAAATCTTTTGCGCCAAATTACAGTTATTAATCAAATTAATGAAGTCGTTGCATTGCAGTATTTTAGGTGAACTTTCGACAGCTTCAAGCGGTCATTGATAAGAAGGCGAACTGGAATAAAATTGTAATAGCTTATGAACCTGTCTGGGCAATTGGTACTGGTAAAACAGCTTCACCAGAACAAGCTCAAGAAGTACATGGTTGGATTCGAGAATTCCTGAAAGAAAAAGTGTCTGCGGATGTAGCTCAGAAAACGCGTATTCTTTATGGAGGTAAACACTATCGCCTAATTGTTTTTTTGCAAAATGCTTGCGATAATTTTTATACAAGTTTTTAATTTCTATCTTGCTTTCTTACGCCAAATGAATTTAGTAAATTTATATCTAGATATTAGGCTTTGAACTTTATATGAATTGTGGACTTAATAAGTAAAAATGCATGAAACTACTCATTAAAACACTGTAATTGCTTTTTTACTCCTGTCTTAGGAATAGTTGATTAGAGGAATATCAATTTATAGTACTGGAATATGTGGAAGGTAATTCTAAGATTCCATATAGTATTCGTAGTTAATTTTTACTTTCCTTTTTCTTATTTATTTTTTTTTTTAATTTTGCTTGGCTTTACCTTGTTTTATAGTTCTGCTTTATTTGTTGCACAAATTTATGATCTGTACAGTAAACTGAAGTTATACTTTTCATGTGAATTTTTAGGATCGGTAACAGCTGAAAATGCGGCTGAGCTAGCGAAAAAGCCGGATATTGATGGTTTCTTGGTTGGTGGAGCTTCATTGAAGCCTGATTTCATCAAAATTATTCATGCACGTGATTAATTTAGTAGCCATACGAATGTTCATGACGCTTAATAGTATTTATCATCCATCTTTCTTGAATATTTAATAATAACTGTAGAATTTGTTTTATATAAGTAATAATTTCCCTAATTTATTTGTGGTTTAATTTATAGTATATTAATTCTGGCAGCTAAAAAGATTTTTTTGATTTCTTTGTTTATTAATATAATTGTAGTAATATTTGATTAAATAAAGAAATTTTTCTCACTATCAACTGTTATTACTACATCTATTATGTCTCAATCGTTTGAATAAATATCAAACTTACTTTCAAAAATTCATTTTTGTTTACATATCTTATCTAAATAATAGGCTTAAAGTTAGTGTTTAATTTGTTTGAATATGTTCCTTCAACCTTATATATGCATGTAGGTCATTCAACAAACAAACATTATATTTCAATAGAAAAAAAGAAAAAAAAGAAAGCGATTAAATAATGTACCTTCAAAATTTCAACTTGTCATTCTGGATTTAATTGGGAAGTTCACTTTATTTTAATTGTTGTTTTGTCGTTTTTAATGTTTGGGATGGTACGTATTGAATAATCTTTTGTGATATTTGTATGTTTTATTACTTATATAAGGTTTATTATTCGTATTGCTCTCACAGCAAAATTAATTAGTTAAAGAAGAAAAAAAAAAAGAAAAAACTGTTTATAAATAATTTGTAAACATAAATTTAATGTTGCTAATATGGTAACAGTTTATGAGTAAATGAATTTTCAGGTGATTACAATGAGTAATATATATGTTAATGAGCCAGCAACAAGCGGCAAGGTATATTGTGAAATTTTTGAAATTTCTTAACTTGAAATAGAGAGAGAATAACAAAATCACTTTTTCCTTATGAAATTTTTAGCAATATCATCGTTTGAAATTTTAACATTATTTAGAAATGTATAGAAGAAAAGAGTAATGTAATAAGTCAATTGTGATATAATTATAAATAAGCTAAATAAGCAATGTTATGAAGGTAACTTTTGAAATTGTTGATCCTTAAAGTTTTCACTAAAGCATTTAATTTTTTTTTTTTTTTCGCATTTATAATAAAATTAATTTTTGTTAGATTTGTATGAAAACAACAGTTGGTGACATCGATATCGAATTATGGTCAAAAGAATGTCCATTAGCATGCCGAAATTTCATTCAGTTATGCATGGAAGGCTACTATAATGGTACAATATTTCATCGAGTAATTCGAGATTTTATCGTTCAAGGAGGTGATCCAACTGGTACTGGTGAAGGAGGTGAAAGTATTTACAATACTTCATTTAAGGTATTTGTATAAAATTAATCAAATTATAAGTTATAGTACAATTTAAGAATATTTTATAGAAATCCTCTATATTTATCTGTATTAATCAGGTATTTGTATTTATGGAAAAGAAATCCTAAAAACATCTATTAAAATTTTTTAATTTTTACTTAATTTTTTCATTATAATCTGTGATTTGATTAGCAAATGTTTTAAATTGATGCTTAAATAATACTTCTCTTTTTGCTTATTTATATAGAAAATATTCTTTCAGAATGAATTTCATCAACGATTGAAGTTTAATCGTCGTGGCCTTGTTGGAATGGCCAGTGGAAATGATGGCATGAATGGTTCACAGTTTTTTTTCACTTTAAATGCTACACCAGATCTCGACAAAAAACATACACTTTTCGGAAAAGTTTATTTTTTTTTCTTGTACAATCAGAAAAGCTGTATTCAAGTTTTTTTTTTTAAAAAAAAAAAAAAATTATATATTTTAAAATTTTATACTTAGAATTCAATGAAAGTATGAAGAAACAGTTGAAGAAAAACAGTGTGAAAGTTAAAATGCAAAAAAATAAAATGTGAAATGTTTTAAATTGAATTATAATTTTAAGTTGAAAGTTCAATTCTATTAATGCATAATATTTATATTAAAGATTGTTGGTAATACACTGTTCAATATGTTACGTTTGGGTGAATGTGAAATAGGCGATGATGATAAGCCGCTTACAAAACAAAAAATTTTACAAGTGGAAATATTGAGTAATCCGTTCAATGATATTATACCACGAGAAAAGAAGAAAGATAAAAAGAGGAAGGAAAAAGTTCGCGAAAAAAAAGATGCTAAAAAGTGAATTTTTTGTTATAAATGAAGTTATTATGAAAATTAAACTTTTCTTTAGTAAAATGTCTTTTAAAGAATGAGAATGATCTTGTAAGTTTCAGTAATTGGACATTAATGAAGAAGGTAAAATTAGGAAATTGATAAGACGAATTGAATAATATTGGTAATGAAGTTTATTTAAAGCTGTACAATATTTAAGTAATTTTTTTCACTACATTGTTTTCAATTCATTTTATATTTTAGTCATAAATAAATAAGCTTAAAGGAATAAAGCACTGTTCGATAATGGAGTAATACTCAAGTTTTAAAATGACCAAAAAAAAAAAAAAAAAATCGGTAGTTAAGAGAAACATTTCAAATGCAAAGAAAAGAAAGTTTAATTTCTATTTAATTTTTAGCAAATTTCTGTACGTTTAATTGTTCAGATAAATTATAATTAAGATAATAACTGTAACGGAATAAAAAAAGAAAAATGAAGTTATAATTTTTTGCAGTCACATATAGCTGACTACCGTGAAATTGTTAAAAGATTAAATAATTTATAATTGCAAATCTTCCTCTTTTTTTTGCCTTAACCTATTTGCGTTTTTTTTTTTTGGAAAATGTTTGAAATTTAATTTTAATTTGTTTACTTTTTTATTTCTTTCGCTTTGATCTTCATAAACTAAACTATAAGATTAATAGTCTTTTTCTTTTTTTTTCAGAAATCTTACCCTTCTTTCATTTGGTAATGAAGCTGAAGAAGATGAAATAGAATTGCAGGAAGCGAATGAGGTTGGTTATTTTTTCAGTATTAATTTACTAAATAATTAAATCAGAATTTTAACCAATTTTTGCTTCTTTATTCTTCTCACTTTTGAATTTGATGTAATATTGATTATTGATATTTGTTGAAATGATAAAGTAAATGATTTTTTATTGTATCTTGCGATTTGTATTATTGTCCCATTTCGTAAGTACTAATGCAAATTTAAATCTAGGATAATGCGATCCATATTTTTGTGTTTTAAAAATGTCTTCATGATTTTTTAATATTCTAAAATCTATCATTCGGTTTTCAAATTCCCAGTCGAAATTGGTTGGTTGATTAGCTGCAATATATTAATGATACTACTATTATTATTATTATAAGTTAAAGGGAGTAAATCTATTAAATAATATTATAGACACTTATTAGAATATTACTAGCATCATTATTAATAGGCTTTAAAATTAGAATACGAAGAAATTTCCAAATTTATTAGAAGAATGAAAGAAAATTAAAATTATGTATGATGATTTTAATCAAGTAAATCAAATAAAACAAACAAAATATTGGGAGAGATGAAGAGATGTCTTGTTTTGTTTTTTAATTCTACTTTTATACAGATTTATTAATCTGACTGTTTTGTATAAAACAGTAGGATTTCATATTACATCGGAAATTAATTCAACTATTTAAAAAGATTTCTTTTTTAAGTGATTAATTGATTATATTATCGCATTTTCAACTTTTGTATCTTCATTTTTAAATGATATAATATAATATGCAATGATATATTTATATTCATATCTCTTGCAACTTTTCAATGTTTCTAATTTTTTTTTCAGAAATTAAAATGTAAAAGTAAAAGTGCACATGATATATTAACTGATGAAACGCTCAGTAAAGAATTAGCTATACCAATGGAAGAACTTATCGATTCATCAGGTGTACGTCAAATCTAATATTATTTCTTTTTTTTTTTTTTTTTTTGTTTTTGATATCATTTTTTTCAATCTTCACTATATAAAAATAAAACTGATAATTGTATTTTTTTTTTTTTTCTTTTCTTTTTTTTAAAAAAAATTTAGACATCAAATATCGAAGACAGTGAAGAAAGAGAAGCACGAATGGAACGAATTAGGGAAAAACTTAAAAAACGTAAACGTAAAGCTGTTGATAATGATCAAAACGATGAGGAAGAAGATTTTGATGAAATGATTAAGCAAGAGATGAATGATCGTCAAAAGCAAGAACTGTGAGTTAAAATTTTCCCATATTTTTTTGACGATATAATTTCTGATTTATGATGGATATATAATTCGTTATTTTCTTATAGTAATATTAACTATTTCAATTAATTATTTCAGTGAAAAAATCACTGCAGAAGTAAGATTAGTGCAGAAAGATTTGAAAGCAATGCTCAAGCCAAAGCAAGAAAAAGAAGAAATAGAAGGTTATTAAATTTTATTTAGCATGTTATTTTCCATAGGTTATTTGTTATTTTCATAACTATTCGTAATTTTTATTCGATATTTTAAAATGTAGACATTAATTTGTCGCTTTCTTTGAATTTCAAATGAAATTATTGGATCAATTATCGAATTTTAATGGTTTTTTAATACAATTTTCAATTTCAAATGAATGTTAAAAAGAGAGTGGAAATGAAAGTGGAAATTTTAGTTCTAAGAAGATTTTTTTTTTTGCTAAAGCTGTTTTTCTTTTTTTTTTTTTAAGAGGAAAAACTACTAACGGAGGCGACAAAGAAACATCTCGAAATGAAACAAAAGTTTAGAGAAAATGCAAAAGTTAAGCTTAAGTCGAAGGATCCACGACGGCAAGATGAGGCAAGAAATTGTTAACATTTCTGAAAACCTCTAATTTATGTAAACAAAATGGTCGAGATTTTATTTACGAAATTATTTTCAGACTATGTCGATGCTTGAAAAGATTTTAGCAGAACACGAAGGTATGAAATCAGTTATCCCTGTAAAGGCACGGCAAGAAGAAGAGAAAAAAGAAGAGCCTGAAGTTTCAGTTGGGAAACTTAATTACGATAGTGAAGTAGACTTAGATACAGCAGAAATGTAAGTTGTTAATAACAACAACAAAAAAAAAAAAAAGCGTCGAGAAAATTGCAAACACATACGAGAAATCTGGTTGTTTAGTGATTATATTTGTTGATAAAGCCTTAAATGAATAAAAACAAACTTTAGCTAATGAAATTTTGTTAAATAAAAATTTCAGGTTTGTTTTTCAGTTAATTTATATCAAATGCTACTTATGATGATAATGAATTTTGTTTAAGCTTGGTACATAAGTTTGTTGCACCTGAGGAAGATAGCAAAGTAAGCAAAGCGAAAGATGCAAATTTACGAGAAGAAAGTGAAGATTGGTATGATATTACGGATCCGCGAAATAAAATAAATCAACGGAGGAGAGGAGTCTTGTAGTTTATTTGAAAATGTTGTAGACATGAATTTTTTAATTCAGATGTTTGTTTGTGTGATTTATTATGATGATTTTATTTTTGTTTTCTTTCATTATTTTAATTGCAGGCTGATAAAGAGGAATTTTGATTCTATAATTCATATTGTCATATTTTACAATAAGCGTATCTTTTATTCCATTTATTATAATTATTAAAAATCACGAAAAAAAAAATAGTAATCATAAATGTTTTAAAAAGCATTAAAATATTGAAGTATGCAAATTCAGTCAAAAATATTTGATTGAAAAAAAAAAAAAAAAAAGAGAAAAGGATGCATGATAATGGGCACAGAAATGGATAAAATGAAAAATATCATTTGTGATTGATAAAAATTGATGCAAAAAATTTCATAATTAAATTATCGAATCACAGCAAAAACATATTTATGTAGAAAAAAAAATCATAAATTGATGAAAGAAAAGAAAATTTTTGCTTCAATTTTACAGATAAAAAATAGTTTCATCAAATATAATAGAAAAATGTTTCTTTTATCACAGAAAAATATAATTTTATAATTTCATTTATACAATATGTCATCCTCCTTTGTTTTCTCTTTCTTTTTTTTTTTTTGTCTAAACATTTCGATTTAATCAAGAAAAGAAATTTCTTTTTCTTTCTCAGGAACGAAATAGATTAGAATTTTATCCTTTTTTATTTTATTAACTTCATATTTTAACAACAACAAATTGTTCCTTCCTTTCTTTAATTAGTTTAAAATTTATTTTTATCCTCTTTTCTTTTTATTATTTAATGCATTTATTTTGTTAAATTCTTTTTTTCATTATTTCATTCGCATTTTCTTTTTCGTTATTTTCTTTTCTCAAATAAAAATGTAATTTGATTAAAAAAGTTTGTCCTTCTTAACAATGATTAATTAATTTGATTGATTGGTGATGATGATGATGATGATGGTGATAAAAATGATAATGTAATAACTGATAAAATGTGATGGAAAAATTAAAGACTAGAAGAACATAATCAAAGCAAAACATCATTTAAAAAAAAAAGGGAAAAGTTAAGAAAGAAAAATGGGAAAAAAAAACATACACATATTTTAATAATAATTAGTAAATAATATTAGGTAGAAAATATAATATCAGTAAATGTAATTTGCAATAAATACACATTTCTCACCTAAAATAATTCTTTAGTTTTCTACTTTAGTCTTTTTTTTTTTTTAACTTTTAATTATATTTAGCATTAAGAAAAATACTTTCCTCCTAAATTAATTAGTAATTAGTGCAAAAATAAATAATTAAATTAATGATTCATGAAGAGAAAAAGCTGTAAGAAATGAAATGTATATACATATGTTTGCTTATGCTAAACAATTGATAATTATTATTAAATGATTATTAATCAAATTAATTTTTACAAAACAAAAAGAAAAAAAAAATGCGAGAAAAATTTGATAATATTATTTTCGTTGAAAAAAAAAAAAACAATCACATTCGTACATTAATAAGATATTTACAGCAATGTGTTAATAATTGTTTGCCACCATTTGGTATTGTCGATGAATTTTCCCTTAAACAAAATACTCAATTAATTAATTAATTAATAACTGATAATTAATGATAATTATATAATAAAAATTATAAATTTGATGGGATTTTTTTTTTTTTTTTTTGAAAAAATGATACATTAGATAAGTAATATAAATGATAATTAATAAAAAACTATAACATAATAAATAAAAAAATATATTTGTAATAAAAATAAATAATAAGCAAAAAATTAATTAGCAATTTGTAATAAGTAAATTACTATTTTATTCATTTATTTGCAATAAAGAAATAAATTAATTAATATACAAGATGAAGAAATAAAAATAAAAAAAATAAAAATCCTAGTTTTTCCTTTGAATGATAAATTTTGCTATGAAATTAATACATTGATAAAATATACAAGATGAAGAAATAAAAATAAAAAAAATAAAAATCCTAGTTTTTCCTTTGAATGATAAATTTTGCTATGAAATTAATACATTGATAAAATTAAATAATAGAATGTAAATTAAGATAAAGTAGTGTAGTAAGTAGATTTTTTAAATGAAATATAAATTAAACATTAATTTAATTAGTGTGATATAAATAAAATTTTGAAATTTAATCAAATAAAATGTATGGAATTTGTTTTTCTTTTCTTTTTTTTTTTTTTCTTTTTTTCACCTTGTGTAAATGTCAAGACCGTATTGTCCATCTTCATAAAAGTCAACTTGAATCCTGACAATGTCACCACGGATTAATGTTTGACAATGACCTTGAAGATTACGATCATCCACTCTGTTCTTGTGTAATGATGCTACAAATTCTGCCAGCGGTTTCATCATTCTTAATAATAACATTATTATTATTATTATTATTATTATTTATAGGATTACACCAGCAATAATGTTAACAATAGGAACAATAAGTGGTAATAATAATAATTAATGACAACTAATAATAAGAATAATAGAAATAACGATAATGAAAAATAGTAATAACGACGACAATAATAATAATAATGATAAAAGATTTTTTTATATGCATGAAATTTGAAATATTACTTCAATATTGAAAATTATTTTTAAAATGAATTATTTTTCTAAATGATAATCATTTTTATCGTTTTAAATTTTGCACTAATTTAAAGAAAAAAAAAACCCAACTATGTTGCATAATATTTTAAAAAATAAAAATAAAAGAAGAAATAGTTTTAACCTAAAATTAATTTCAAGTATTCGACCACAATTAATAATTGCATCTTCATGTGTTAATGGTATTAAACCAAATAAGCGATACGCTTTTGCTGGACCCCATTCACCGCTTGCGCATTCAGGTAATGGTACCATAATTACATTTAATTTCTCACAAGTAATCTGCAAATTTTAATTAATTATTTACAAGGAAAAAAAAGTGTAATGTGATATGATTATTGATTAGTTATATGATATGATTATTGATTAATTATATGATATGATTATTGATTAGTTATATGATATGATTATTGATTAATTATATGATATGATTATTGATTAATTATATGATATGATTATTGATTAATTATATGATATGATTATTGATTAATTATATGATATGATTATTGATTAAGTATATGATATGATTATTAATTATTTATATGACGTGACTATTTATAAGTATTATATTATCACAATGATTTTTTTTCTTCTTTTTCTTTTAATTCTTTTTTTCTCAATAATTAGAAATTGTTTTTGGCTACGATAATTAAATTATAGAATCAAATAGCATTATTAATTATTACATGTTAATTTATACAAAGTTAGAATTTTTATGGACAATGTTGCCAATAATTAATAATAATTATAATTATTAAATAATAAATTAAAAAAAAAAGGCAAAAAAGCAAATAGGAACGAAGAATTAATTGAGGAATTTGCAAATGAATCAAAATGAAATATACTGTTTACAAATAAGCAAAATAAAATAAATTATTGACAACTAGTCTAGAGTATTATGAATAAATTTTAAAATAATAAATGTAATTAAATATTTTGTCAATTAATCTTTAATAATAATAATAACATTGATTAATTAATAATGATAATAAATAATGATAACAATAATAAATAATAAGAGTAATAATAATAAATAATATTTAATAATAATAACAATAATAATGACTATAAGAACAAAAATAATAATAATTAGTAATAACAATAAAAATAATAATAATTAACAAATGACAATAACAATAAATAACAACAGTAATAATAACAATGATGGTAATGACAAATTAACCTTAAATTTGCAAATACTCTTAAATTTAATCGGTTGACCGGTCAGATAATGTCCAGGTGACACAGCATTTGCAAAAATATCCAGCAGTAATGACCGTGTCGATGGACAATGGACACGAAATATAGCTGAGTCACCGATAACGGATTGCATAACGAAACGTTTCAAATTATAACCATTCATTTCAACGTCATCACCATCAAAAAATCTATCAAAAAATGGAAAAAAATATATATTTTAATTAAATTATGATCAGTTTTTATTGATTGATCAGCTGACTGACTGATTGATTGATTGATTTTTTTCTTTAATTATTGCAATTATTCAACAATTTTATAAAAATTTCCGCATTTTCATGCATAGTGTATGAAACTTATGACAACAAAATTTCTTGGTAAATAATAAATGAAAATGATTGAAAGGTAAATTTTATTTCAGCTTATGATTAACATATCAGTTAATTATTAATAATACAAATGAAGTAGATTAATTATTTCTAAAAAAAAATGAAGAATAATTTAAAATTTAAATATTTTTCCTCTTTTTTTTGAAATTTATTTAGTTTTTTCTTTTTGTTTCTCTTAATTTCATTATATTGTTGACTTAGTAAATTTAAATCATTTTTTTTTCTAGCTAAAATAAATTTTATTTATTATAGTTAATGAATTTTTATTGCAAATAATTTGATTTCTACATATTTTTATCAATCTAATTACTCTAATTATCACTCTATTTATCACCAATGTCAAATTCTTAGCTAAATTTTAATTTCTTCAAAAAAAAAAGATTTTTTTTAACCTAAGATTATAGTGGAATATCAATGAATTTAGAGCTTCATTTGACATAGTAATCGAAATTGTTGCTGCACCACTTCGATCTGCCTAAAAAATAAAAAAAAAAAAAGAAAATTTTATTTAATTTTTATCTTTCAATTTTTTTGTTCTCTTTGCCAGCATTATTTTTGATAATAAACAATTAATAAAATGTAATTCTAAAATTTTTATTGTTTAAAGAAAATATATTTTTTTTTTAAAAAAAAAAAAAACTTTTCGCTATTAAAATTTTAAAAAAAAAAAAAAAAATTATTGCATAAATTTTTACCTTAACAATAGCTTGTAATTTAGTATCAGTAAAACTTAAACCATAACGAAAGAAAAGTGAGCGTACAAATGGTAACGCTTCAAATTGCTGTAGTGTTATGGGATTTTTTAATAATTGCCATTCAGATTCTTGCGGAAAAAATTCATAAATAAATTCCTGAAAATAATTAATTCAATAATTTCATTTTCATTAATTATAAAATATCTAATTAATTTTTGCACTATATTTACATATAGTAATATAATGTGATATTATTAATATTATTTAAATTTCTAATTTTACATTTTATACAAACATAAGTGTTTACTTATTCTCAAAAAAAAAAAAGTTTCAATAATTAACAAAAATTGCTTTTTCGAAAATAAAAATTTAACATTTAATAATAAATCCATCAAATAATAGAAATAAATTTCCAGTCAAAATGAAAAATGAAAAAAAAAAAAGAAAAAAAAATTGTTTTATTAAATCATTTACAAAAAATAACAAAATAAATTGTGAAAAAAGATCAAAAAAAAAAATAAATTAATTAAACAAAATTATAAAATATTTACTCTATAATGAAATAATAATACTGCATGCAATAAGTTGAAGAAAAATTTTATAAAATTTTAACATATAGCAAAATGTCAGAAAAAATGAAACACACTGAGATTCTTTTATAAAAATTATAAATGAATTAAGAAAAAATATTTTTTTTTTCCTCTTTTTTTTGAAAAATTGATCTATCTTTTTAATTAAATAATAAAAGAAATGAATTCAAAAAATAAAAAATAAAAAGTAAAATTAATTATTCAAATTATTTCTTTCTCTTTATTTTATTTTATTTTTTTTTTTTGAAGTTAATAAAAATATTATATGTAAAGAAATGACAAGAAGAAAAATTTTTGTCAAATTCAAATTAAAATTTAAAAAAAAAAAATTACATTATTTTTTCACGATAGATAAGAGAGAAATTCTTGTAGTACAAATCATTAAAAAGAAGATCGATAAGGTCATTTCATTTTTAAGTAAGTTAAGAAATTTCAAAAAAAAAAAAAAAGGGAAACAAAATTTTTCGTTCCGACAAATTTCAAATAATTTTTCTAATATATTATCATATCCTTGAAAATAAAATATTTTAAATATTTTCTACAAAAAAAAAAAATCTTTTTTACCATATATTTAAATTATATTCATTTGGAAGACTTTCAAAAAAAAAGAAAATAACTATTTTTATTCATAATTTATTTTTTTTTTTGTTTAAAATGCAAAAAAAAAAAAAAAGATAATTATACTATAAAATCGAATAAGAACGTTTTTATCTTTTTTTTTTAACACAAATTATTTATACAAAATATAATTTATGAAAACAAAAAATTTTAATTAGATTAAATGCAAATTTTTAGAAAAGAATTGAAAAAAAATTATTTTAAAATATTAAAATGTAATTTATTTTTGCTTTTTAAAATATCACAAAATTTTAGTGGAAAAAAAAAGAATCAAAAATTTAATTAATTTATATACCTGAGGATCAGTCATGAAATAATGATCATCGTATTCATAACGTAAGCTATCACCTTTACTACTTGTTCGTGTACTTCCCTCTTTTGCATTTCTATAAAAAAAAAAATTTTTTTTCTTTCTTTTGAAAAACTAATAAATTAACAGTTCAGATTAATTTTAATTGAATTAAATTGAAATACAAAAAAAAAAAAAAAAAAAAAAAAAAGAAAATAAACAACTAAATCAATTATTAAAATAAATTAATAAAAGTTTTATTATCAAACTTTTCTTGAAATTTTTTAATAAACAAAATTTTTTGTTCAAATTTTTCCTTCATTTTAATCTAACCACATTTTTAAACAATTATTTTTCATTTAATTAAATCTGGTAAACCCCCTCCCCCGCTTCGTTCCAAAAAAAAGCAATAAAAAAAAAACAGAAACTTACACTAAATGCCTTGCACCCCAATTACATTGTACAAAACGCCATGAACCACTTAAATAAACAGCATTCCAAGTATTCCGGAATCGGTTATCCTCAAATCGATAACCGGGTTGATAACCGGCTGATTTACTATAACCTTTGATAACAACACAATGTAATCCGGCATAACTGCAAATTACAAAAACATTTTCATACATTTTCTCATTTTGGTTCCTCTTTTTCCTTTGTTTACTTTCATTAAACTTTAATTTACACAAATAATAATGGAAAAAGAATTGTGATATTAAAAAAAATCTTTTCAAAAAAAAGCAACAAAAAAAAAAATAAATAAAACAAATAAATTCAAAAAAAGCAACAAAAAAAAAATAAATAAAACAAATAAAATTCAAAAAAAAGCAACAAAAAAAATAAATAAATAAAAACAAATAAAAGATTTTAAAAATTTATTAATTTTGCAATGAAAAATTGAAATTCAATTAAAATTATCATAAAAAACTAATCAATCGGAATAATTTTATTAATAATTAAAATGAAATTAGAGCAAAAAAAAAATAAAAAATAAATGATCTAATCAAATCACCTGCATAATCGTTTGAATAAAACATGATAACTTTCTGTGCCATATTTAATTCCACGTAATAAACCCATTGGTGTATTACTATCCAAATGACTATCAAATTGCATTACATTTAATTTTTAATTGTAATCCATCGATAAATTGCTCTAAAAAAATGAAAAAAACTTTTCTCTCAAATTTCACATAATTAAATTTTCATTGAAAAAGAAAGGAAAAAAAAAAAAAAAACATGAGAATGAAGTATAATTTAAATATGATTAGTTATAACTCATACAATACGATGGAAATGTTATTTAATCAATAATAATTAGATTTGTCAAAAATTTTTCATAAAATTTCAAAAAATTCAAACAAGCATAACACATTAATAAATTTACTATCATTAAAAAAATATCTAATAAATGACATTTAAAATCGAAATATCTAATAAATGACATTTAAAATCACATTTTAATCATTTTTTTTTTCTCCTTTTAAATTACACATCCATTTGAAATGCTTATTTTTTGAGTAATTTTAAATAAAGATAAGAAAAATTATAAATTTATTGCTTTGTTTGAAGAAAAAAATTGCTCATTAAATTTAGAAGAAAATTTTTATAGTATATTTTGAATTAAAAATTTTCAAAATAAAAAAAAAAAAAGATTAAAAAGAAAACTTTTATAGAATTTTGTGGTTTGAAGAAAAAAGTTTTCTTTTTAACTTTTAATACATTTTCTTTTGCTATTCAAATCATTATTAAGTTGCTAAAAGAAAAGAAATAATAAAAAATTTCATTTCGTTTTCTAGAATCTAAATATTTACAATTTCTAATTAGTTTTCTAATTGATTATATTTCATTTATTTCAATTAAATTATTAATTATTGATTAAATACATTACATATGTAAGTTATGAGCATTTATTTTTAAATAAATTTATTCACTATCATTAAAAAATTTTCAATTTTTTTTCAAGCATAATTTTGTAGCTAAAAAAATAAAAAATTATTTAAATAACAATTTAAAAAAAAAAAAAGAAAAAGAAAAAAGTTCCACATATGTATTTATTTTTCTTTACTAAAAGAAAAAAAAAAAAAAAAAAAGGTTACATTTTAATATTTTTAGTAAAATATTTATTTTTTTTCTCTTTTCCTTTTTTTTTTATTTTTAATTTATAAAATATTTAATTAAATTTTACCTTGCTTTTTCAATATCATTTCGTGCATTAGCTGTTAATGTTCGAATTAATTCTGTAAATGTGGTAATTTCAGATTGTGCCATCGTTATTGCTATCTCATCGATTGTTTCAAATATCATTGTATTGGTGTAAATTTCACGTTTACTGCAAATTGGCGGTTGTGGTGGTGGCGGTGTTGTCGGATATGATGGTGAACCTATATATGAGGAATCATCACATTCCTGAAAGAAAAAGAAGGAATAATTTATGAAAATTTTAAAAATTTAAATTTGAAATTTTTTGCTGAAATCTAACATTGAAATATATGGCAAAAAAAAAAAAAAAAAAAAAAAAGATAAAAATAAAAGTTTGAGTGATAAAATTGATAAAAATTAAAACTTTTAAAAAAAGATTGTATTTTTCTTTTTCTTTTTTTTTTTTTTGTTTGTTTGAAACTTTCAGAAAAACAAAGAAAAATTTGTAGAAATTTCAAAAATTTAAATTTGAAAGTTGTTGATAAATAATATATGACAAAAAGAAAATAGTTGAGAATGGAAATTTAAATTGTAGTGATAAAATTTGAAAAAATTAAAATTTCAAATAAAATTTGTAAAAAAGGATTGACTCTTCTTTTGAAATCAAACATGGCTAACAATGAAATAAATGCATTAAATTATGATTATAAAATCATTATTTTGCATCTATGATTGATTATTTTGAACTTTTAAATTGAAAAATTTAAATTATTAATCGAATTATTAATGTACTTTAGAATAAACTTATAATTAGATTACTTTTTTTTTTCAAAAGTTATGTAAAATTATTATATAATTTTGAAAAACGTAACGTTTTGTAATAATCATTTATCCATCATTAACAGATGGCTTAGTTTAACAACTAAAATCGGAAATGATAATTTTGATAAATTTAAAAAATTGATTTAGAATTTAAGAAATTAATTTAGAATTGTTCTTTTTTTTAAAAAAACTTCAATATGTATTTTTTTTTTGCAATGAATACAAATTTTATATGAAACTTAGCAAATTTAATTCAACAAAATTTAATTTTGGACAATATTTCAAATGATGAGTTTAATTATTTAATAATTTGAACTAAATATTACAAAATTGATTTACAATTATCATTTTCGACAATTGTATTATAGTATTACTTATCAAAAATTTAAAATATTTAAATGTCATTAAATTTGTCATACATTCGTCTTATTTTGAACAAAATCAAATAGTATTTCAATTTTTAATCATTTGCCTAATTTGAATTAAACATTAGAGAGATTAATTTAGCAGTTATTACTTTTAATAGTGATATTTTTTATTTTTTTTTTTGTATTTTAAATATTCAAAAATGTAAATTTTTCTTTCATTTCTTTCATCTTTGCCGAAAATTTACTTTCAAATTTATTTTTTAAAAATTCTTTTAAAATTTCAATTTGCTTTCTTAAAATCTTACCACACGTGCTTGCTTAAATAAGTCCAACATTTCTTTAGCTTGTCGATCAAGTAATTCAGCCGTCTGTAAGCGTTCACGTTCCTTACGTTGCTGATGTAAAGTTTCCAATTTTTTGTCACGTTTTTATCGTCAAATGCCTAATCAAATCCTCTTTATTCCTACTACCTACTTGGCCTTTTTCATATTTTCGAGCAAAATCAGCCAATGCTTGCTCCCATTCTTCCTAAAACAATCATTCTTGCATTTATTTATTATTTTTTTTTTACATTCTAAACTAAAATTTAAACAATTATTAATCAAAATAATAAAAAAGAATTTTTTTTTCCTTAAAATTTGAAATAATTTTAACAGTTAATTACAACGTATTTTTGCTTGTTTTATTTTAAAGGAATTAAAATTTTGAAAGTTAATTAAAATTTTTGAATTAATTTTGAATTGATCATAAAATACTTACTTTAGTTTCCTTTTCAAATTGATCATATTCTCGTTTCTTATTTTCATCAAATGCTTCATACAATTTATCCTCATCTTTACGATGAATTAATTCCAGTCGAGTTTGTGCATCGTAATCCTTAAATTATCATCTAGTCTCAATTTATTTTTATTTTTGTTATTAAATTTAAATAAATTTAAAAAAGGTATCAGCAAAAAAAATTTATTTCTAAAAATCAACTTTTCATATTTGTCATGCATTGAATATTTGTTAAAATTTTATTTGTTTTCCAGTACCACAAAAACAAAAAAAAAAAAAAAAAAAACTAAAAGAAACACAATTAATAAATATCATTTCAAAATTGACAAAAGTTAAACCTAAAAAAAAGGAACTATTCAAATTTTGAGAATTTGAAAAATTTACCTTATATTAAACTTATTTAAAAATAAATTGTGAAAAAAAATTTTGTTTAAAAAATAGTAAATTATATAAGTTTCATTATTATTTATTATTATTGTTATTTTATTGTTACTATTATTATTATTTACAATTATTATTAGATTTACCACAACATATCGTGCACCGGCATGTTTAATTTTTGGATATGGTTTTGAAACTTGTGTAGCTTTAATTGCATGAGCAATTTTTAAATCATTTAAGCCAGCATCACGACGGAAGCCGTTGCTACGATGCGTTCCGTTGCTGTAACCATTGCGCACCGGCGGTAAATCATGCGGACCAGCTATTGGTACATGACTGTTACAATAAATTTCCTAGAAAAAGAAAGCAATTAAAAAAAAAAATAATTAATTATTTAATGCTATATTCTAATTTAATGAAAAGAGAAAATATCATTTAAAAAAAAAAAATGCTAGTGAAATATATTTTTAAGTAAATGAATCGATTAATCATTAATTGCTATCTTCTAAATAAGAAATTATCATAAAGTAAAAATAATGATGAAATATTAAAATAAATCAAACAATTTAATATTTTTTATTTTCCAATAGAATAAAGAAAAAAAAAAACATTATGAGAAAAGCTAATAAAATATGTTTAAATAAACCAATCAATCAATCTATCTAATTTGTCAATTGATCAGTCAATCAATCAATCACTTAATCAATCTATTCATTAATCAACCAACTAATTAATCAATTTGTCAATCAATCAATTAATAATTGTTATTTTCTAATAATATAGTAATTTTTACTTTTTTTTTTCTTAATCTCTTTTCTAATTTTTCTCATTTTATAATTAATTTTTATACTAAAAAAAAAAAAAAAAAAAAAAAAAACTCATTTTGATTAATAAATAAAATTTTTGATTAATAAATAAAATTAAAAAAGAAAAAAAAACCTGATCATTAATATCATTTCGATTATTGCAATATGTTTTTAATGCTAAACGTGTCCCACAAATGTAACATTTAAAACATCCTTGATGAAAAAATGTTGAATCCTTTAATGGACCAACTTTATCAGTTGGATAAACAGGTTTTGAACACCGATGACAAAGCTCTTTCACCATCTGCTTTGTCCAAAATAATTAGACAAATATTTGAATTGAGCAGAAAATATAACAAAAAATAATAATAATAATAAAAAGTGATTAGAAATTTAGAAGAGAATTTGAAATATTGAACAAATTATCAAATGTTATCAAATTTTAGTTTATTTGATAACAAAATATTTTATCCTTTTCTTTTATTTTGCTTTTTCTTCTTTTTTTTCTTTTTTTGCTTTATTATTTATTGTTGAGATAAAAATTTGCAATAATTGCAAAATTTTTTCGTCACAGATTAGCCAATCCTGAAAAAATAAAAAGTAAGAAAAGATAAAAACATTATTATGCAATTATTAATATTATTATCGCTTTATCATTATTAATTTCCAGATATGATAATGATTTATGGAAGCAAAAAGAAAAAAAAATGTATATATTTGTAATTATACTTATAAGCATTTATAAAATAATTATTATTTTTCTAAATTAATACATTCCTAATTAATGCATGACTAAAGCTATATTTAATTTTGACTGCAATTATTAAAAACTGATATGCACATTTTATTAAATTTAAAAATGTTTTTGTTTTCTTTTTACTCATACATTAGATATAATAATTGTACAAAATATATAAATTTTTAAGAGGAAAAAAAAAGAAAAAGTGAAATAGAATGAAATAATATAAGAAAAAAGAAAATCTAATAAGTTTTAAAATTTCATAAAATATAGGGTATACAATTTTTACTGTTATTATTATTACTTTACATTTGAATAATAAAAAAAATGAAAATACGAAAAGTTTATATGTGCACATTCATTATTTTTTCATTTCTACTTTTGATAATTACAATTTTGACCTCTTTTTATAACAAATATTATAAATGATATTTTTTGAAATTCAAAATTTAATGAGAAAATTGATAGAAAAACGGATATTTTTTAAGTATAAAAATGATAAATCTGTATTGTGCTTCCAAATTAAAGATAATGAAAATAAAAATTGAGATAAATTAATAAAAAAGAAGAAAAAATGAAAATAAAAATTGAGATGAAATAAATTAAATCAATTATAAAATGTATTAGTACTAGATTAAAGCAAAATATGTGATTTGATAAGATTATCACTAATTGATGATAATAGCATAAGTTTGAAATATAACAATTTTAGAATTAAAATTTCTTCTATTTTTTGTTTTCTCATTGTTTCTTCCTTATTCATTTCAGATTTAGTCAATCTGATAAGTGATAACAATGATTGCATTTCAGATATATTTTAAAAATGAGAAAAATAAAGTGATAAGAAAATGATGATAAGAAATGATTGCAAAAATTTTATATATTTTTCACATATTCACATACATTCAATAATTAATTATGCAAAATATAATCTGAACAACAGAAAATGATTCATTAAAAGTTTCATTATTAATTATTAATTATCATTATGTTATCATTAAATTAAAATAATGATAAAATAATATGATAAAATTTGCATAACGCTATTAATAATTGTGTAAAATTGACAATTATTAGTAAAAACCTTTTTTTTTTTCAAATAAAAATACAATATACTTTGATCAATAATTTTAAGCAATTTGTATAATAAAAAAAGGAAGAACGAATAAATAATTTTTTCCTTTTTTTTTTGTAAAAGAAAAATTTTATGTTTGTTATTGTTGGCATGTGTAAACATATGTTTTACTTACGAATAATAATAATTATGACAGATATCGATGTGATAATATCAACGTTATCATCATCTGCATTACATATTTTAAACTTTATCAGTAAAATTTTGTTTTTACTTATTTGTTTATAATTACATAGGAGCAGTAATTAATTAATATTATATTATTAATATTAATAGCAATAATAATATAATTAAAGTTAACAAGTGAATGTGATATTAAATTATAATTTGCATATTTTAATAATGATTTTGTATTTGCATATTTAACAATGGTAATAATAATAATAATAATAATAATAATAATAATAATAATAATAATGATAATAGCATTTATAATAAATGAATTAAAATTTAGCAAGTTGGAAAAAATTAGTGAATTAGAACAGATTTGAAATTCAAGAATTAATTTTACTAATCTTTATTAAAATCAAATTTTTTCTAAAAAAAAAATTACGAATTTCTATTGTGTTTATCAAAATTGTCCTTTTTTAAAAAAATAAAATGTGAAATTACACTGTAAATAAAATATGAAAAATTATCAAGTAAATAATAAATGTTATCTAAGGAAAATCGAAAATTTTATTCTTATGAAAACACAAATTTTAAAATTTATTAAAAAGCAATAGTATATAATTAATAAGTAGCAAATATGTATATATATATATATATTTTTTTTTTTGTTATATTTCAAATTATAGAAGAGTAAAAAAATATTCGCATTTTGAATTAAAAGAAAAAAAAAGAGAAAATAAATCATATAAGACAATATTAATAATTTTAAAACAATTAAAACAATAATTGAAATTTAAAATAATAATGTATATTCGATTATTCATTTCTTTCATTTAATTTATATATTTTGTACTGTAATTACATAATTAATAAATAATTATTATTATATTACATAGTAATCATCATTTTCACATTTATTATAATATTTTGAAATTGAAAATTTTAATATAAAATAATTAAAATTAAAACTTCCAAATAATAAAATAACCGAAATACATTTTATCTATATGATTATAAGGAAAAAAAAATTTTTTTGCTTTCATATTTTAATCATAAAAAAAAAAGAATGAAAAAATGACAATTTTAATTTTAGCATCAAATACAAATAAAGCAAGCCAACATCGTATCACCAACAATCATCCATTATCATATTTTCCATACCAGGTAGTACCAACTGGTAAATTTCGGGAGAAGGAAGAAGGCGGAGAAGGGAACAATCATATATATATAACTGTTACCCATGGGAAAAATTTTTTTTTTTTTTTAGAGATGTGGAAAAATTGTTATTTGTCTTTTACTTGAACAAACATTGAATATTTCTAGCACACGTCACATGCTAATTTCATTTTAATTCTTTCATTTTTCCATTATAATATTTCAAAATTGTAAAGAATTAAAATTTTTTATTTAAAAACTAATTCCAATATTTTGTAAATTTTTAGATGAATTAAGAATGATAATTTACTTTAATATTGCGGTTTAACTTAATTTTTTTTTAGCAAAAATAAAATTAAAGCAAATTTAGTCGATTATAGAGATTGGTAGTATAAGCCAAAATATTAATGAGAAAATCAGGTCAAAATATATATGAAAACATTTGAAGGAGCTTCGACTGATCAAATTTTTGAAGTCTTTAAAAATTTTTAATAAAAATTAATTAGGTGAGAAAATTGAAAAGTTTTTCAAAATTCAAATTTTGAAATAAAAGAAGATGAGATTTGCTATCTATTGAATATTTATATTTTATCATATTAAACATTCCACTGATATTATTCAATTCTATGAATACTTTCATCCAATCATTTTCTAAATTTCTTTTTTTTTTTATCTAATTATATAAGTAGTTTCAGTAATTCTTTTCCGAAGATTTTTTTCTATTTTTATAGAAAAATCGGAATATAAGTGAATAATAGTAATAATTTTGTTGTCTGCTAGTTATTTCGTTATTATTATTAATATTGCTTTTATTGTTATTATTATTATTTTGGCACCATAATGATGCTTAGTATAATAATAATGCTTGATAAAATGAATAAATTTATTAATCCTAATTATAATTTTGAAGTAGCAAAACTTCATTATAAATTAAAATTACCAATAATCATATCGAACCGGCTTAAATGGCACAAAATTACAGCAAAGAATTATTCGAAATCAAATATTTTTATCTCTAAAAAAATAAAAAAAAAGTGTGAATAAAGAAATATGTATATAAGAAGCAAGTTTTATTTCAAATAATTTATTTATTTGATTTCGTACTGTTAAAAAAATTATTTGTTGATATTATCAATTGAATTTATATTCTTTTTTAATTCGAAAAAAAAAGGAAAATTAAAAGAAATTAAAAAAAAACGAAAAAGATAAAAAGTATACTGGAAAAAAAAGTACATTGTTTTATTTTCTTGTCCATTGCAACTGTTCTTACTGTACTGTTACGCTATGCTTACCGTAATATGGTAGGCGTACGGTATTACAGTAAGCCGATTATGGTAGCGGCTAAAAAATGGAATAAAGTAAAAGAATTTGAATCTTTTTTTTTTTTTTTGGAAAAGTGCAAAAAAAAAAATAGATTTAATGATTTTGAAAATTTTTAAAAAATTTCATTACTAAATTAATTGTAGCATTATAACTGAAGAAATAATCAATCTTTACTACTCATATATTTCATATCATTTTTCTTCTCTCTAAAAATTTACCACTTTTAGCTCAATACTCGAAATTCCCGCTTCTCTGCTTCATTATTTATTGCCAATTTCTTTTCTTGTTTGCAATGGATGTAGCAGAAATGAACATAAGAGAGAGATTAAAATTTGAAAAAAACTGGTTTTCCTTCTTTTCATCATATCTTCTTATTCCTCTTTCCATTAATACTACTCTATTACTACTACTAATACTATCCTTACTGCTTCCTTTTAACTATCTGAAATTTATTTCAAAAAAAAAAAAAAAAAGAGAGAATAGCTTAGATGAGCTAATTATATTTGTGAAGATATAACTAAAACAATATAAATACGTGTTGAAATGCTCCATTCTCCTTACTTTTTATTTTTGTATTATAAATTTCAATAAATTATAAGTACGTTTTAAATTTGATAATTTCATTCATTTCTTAATCTTTCATTAATATCCCTATTTTCAATTCAATTTTAGATAAATTATTGCTCATATAAATTGTATAGATAAATTATGAGTTGAAAAAATAAAATTTAATAGTGGACGATAAAAGCTATTTGATAATGGTTAATTAATCGATATGAGGCAATTAAAAAGTAAGTAAAGCAGTATGATCAGAAAAACTTAGAATTATTGGAAATTTTTT